TAGCGCGCTCAACGTGCCGTACAGTATATCGTAAACATCTTCTACATCAGCATGTTAGCATGGCGACGTTGGCATTAAGTTCCAAGCACCACCATGCCAAGTACAGCATAGACTTGTGCTCATGTTGTTGTTTGTTTTTTTTTTTTTTTTTTTTTTAAGATTTACTGCTCCCTTTTGTACGGCCTGGTTAATGTGTTTTTGGTGTTCTGTTTTTTTTCATTGGCAAGGACTTGGGAAGCTTTTGGACAGAAAGTTGTTTAGATAACAAGTTGTTCTTTTGTGCTCAAATGTGGAATATATTTTAATAATTCCATAGAGTCCCACCCTAGATATTCAGCAATACATTTAGTGTTCAGTAGTTTTTCCTCACTCTTTCAATACCAAGTTCTAATACTACACCTCAAAATTAAATTGGGTCATCAGGGGCAAAGATAATCTTCAGTTTTGATACCAGCAACTACTCAGGGAACTCGATCTCTTGAACAATCAACAATTAAACAAGAATACAAAGGTAGGAGAGAGGGAGAGAGGGAGGGGAAAAATGAAAGGAAAGGGAAACAATTCATTGCATTGTGTTTGCTGGCACATGGCTGGACCAGTTTGGGCTGGATTGTATGAAAGCAGAGGCTCAAAAAGAGGCAGAGGGAGAAGAGGTAGCCTGAGAAATTTTGTGAAATGATCAGACCTCGAAAGACGAGGTCCCCTCAGTGCACAAGGTCTTGAATCAGACATACTTGCAACTTTATCACACACCCCCACCCACATGCAGCAATGCTGAAGAAGAAAAAGAATGGGGAAAGCAGTGAGCCCTGTGTGAAGAAGGTAAGAATAAAAGGACTGAGTGGAGGGAGAGGATGCTCAGTCTGGCTTGAAAGTGGTTTGTAGGAATGTGATGATCAGCTTCTTCCTTGTCTCTGTGTGATATGGTATATCGTGGTGTTCTCTGAGAGCTGTACTGTCTGTGCCCCTTTTTTTTTTTTTTTTTTTTTGGAAAGGTGTTGATGCTCCAGTCTGCGTTATAGTCTTGAGGGTACTGCTTAAGAAAAGGCCCGGTGATCACTAAACTGAGAGAAAAGGCGAGATACAGAAATGAGAGCGTTATACCGTTAATGATATCATGTGTTGATGTAAGACCTCTGGTTATGATGACTCAAATGTTCTTCGTGATTGGACACCAGTGATGCCCTGTGCCATTTACTGAACGTCACACACACGCACTACGAATGAAACGTGAATGAAAGACACAGACGTACACAGCTTCCTGGTATCTGACTTGCATACACACACAGAGGATGACTATCAATTTTTTTCTCCTTTACAAAAACCTGAAAATATTTGCTTCTTTTTGTACTCAAGGACGGCCTTTTCTTTCTCTCAGAAATATGAAGAATGAAAATCAATGAGGAGTGACACTCATTCTGCTCCTTTTTATCAAATCTGTAAAGCTTTTCACCACCTCCGTCAGAGGACAGAGAGGCGTTGGGAAAAATCTGCTTTTCCAATGTTAATCGTGACAGAAATATTTGCTCATTTGTTGGCATTATTGAACAACTTTTCTCAGTTAGAGATAAAAAAGAAAGGACCAAAAAATCATGTTTTCACAACTGCAAACATCCCCCCACTAGCATGTATTGTTCTTGTAGTTTTATGGTAGGAATAAGTCAGCTATTCATACTCTGGAATATTATCAGTACATGAAGTATGATACACCAAGCTATTGATGTAATAGCGGAAAGATCAACAAAGTGATAGTCATGGTCAGTGTGTGACCTGACTAGTGTCAAACAGAGCCAGGATGAACTGTTGTACCTCGTGTCAGCTCTGTGGCCTTGTCGCCTGCTTGATAATAGCCTCATTGTCTTTATTATCTTTTTTTTTTTTTTTTAAGTCAGAATGAACTTAGAGCTGCCCTCCTTCCTTGGAGACGGCAGTGTACCGATTCTGTCTCTTCTATTTTTATTATGAGCCCTTTTTTTTAATCTGTATTTTGTGTTCTTTCTTATCTCAACAGTTTGATGTGTTTATAAAAAAGCTGTCCTTACATAAACATAGCATGGCCTAAAGAGAAATGGCGTCATTAAAGATGCAGTTTGCAAGTTTTTTTTTTTTTAATGGTTGGCTATTGAATTTCATCATAATCTTAGTTAATGTATTGTGTGCTTGTGTGCGCTTGTGTGTGTGTGTGCTTTCCAAGAGCTCTATATGTGTATGTGTACAAAGAGTTCTGATCTCTGTCCGCTTCTGCCCCCTGTCCACCAGCAGATCCAGTTTGCGGACCAGAAACAGGAGTTCAACAAGCGTCCTTCCAAGATCGGCCGGCGCTCTTTGTCCCGCTCCATCTCCCAGTCCTCCACAGACAGCTACAGCTCAGGTAAACACACACGCAAACACACTCTCTCCACATTGCTCAGTCTCAGTAGCGCACCACTTATCATCAGACTCGCTTGTGGATATGACATGTTTCCATTACGTACGTACACCAAAGATACAGAGAGTGTTTAACCTGGCTGTTTCCTTTGCGTGATTGTACTTTTCTCTCCGGCTCACCTCCGCGTCTCCCTGGCTCTCGGTCTCACACTCTGACACTGCGGTTCATGTGAAACTGGGCTCTGTTACAGGATTAGCTGCTGCTGGAGTGCTGGAGAGGGGGAGAGAGAAAGGAGGAGAACTGGGAAGTGTTGGGTGTGGTTGAATTGTTGGTTACTCACACACTCTCTCACTATAGTCATGAATGGGACTGCGGATTCAGTTAAGTTTTTCACCACCACCATAAATGGCTATCCAGCAAAGCGCTATACATACTGCAATCTGTGGGCAAAAAGGAATTAAATGAGAGTTCCAACTTCACGTCTGTTCATGCTTGTTAACCTTCAGACATTATAAAGTTATAAATTAGGTGTCTCCACTCTCAATATGGTCCAATGACTATAAGCTTCAGGGGCAAAATTAGTTTTAAAATCAATCAGTGATGCTGCCTGTGAGCAGAAAACACTCTTCTTCCTCACTGCTATTTTCCTGCAGTCATGATACCACTTCATTAATGCACCAGGTGGAAAATATCATGCAAGCATTTTCCCTCTTTTCATAAATGTCCCATTATGTCCGAATATGGCCTTAAAGGCATTTACGTAGAAGTTGGATTTCTTTACTTTAACAGCTTGATCAAGCCTGCAGTGTTGCATATCCCACTACCAGAAAAGGACTTTAGAGGAAGTTTGATCCAGTGTCGAAAAGGGATTAATCGTTTGGTCTGTACATTATCAGAAAATGGTGAAAAATGCCGGTTTTAATATCCTTAAGCCCCAGTTGATATATTCAAATTGGGGTTTGAACTAATGGTCAAATATAACAATCAAACACTTACTTCATTTACTTTCATATGTGGCAAAGACAAGTATCAAATCCTCAAATTTGAGAAGCTGGAATCATCAAATGTTTGGATTTTTTGTTTAAACAAGTTTACTCAATTATTAAATATAGTTGCCAATTTACAGACAATTGACTAATTGCTAATCGACTAATTGGTCCAGCTTTAACTGCGATGAAGTATGAAGGAAATGTTTGTACAAGGCAGCAAATGACACAGTGACGTGCGTACCGTATTTCCCGAAAGTGTAAACCAAAAACAGGTTCCTGCTTTCATACTGAGAAATTGCAGCACAAAGATGGAAAAAACCTGATATGAATAAACCTGTTCTACTTTTGTGTCCTTGTCCTGCCTTCTCTCTTGTTCACATACTGTTTAAGCTGTTTCGGCTGTGACGGCTGTTTTATTTCGGACTGTGTGTCAGGGTCATCCGCAGGGCATGGATCTCCCAATGACACCATTAACATGATGAATTAATCTGTGTATGATACAGCTTGGATGGTGTCGTGTCTAGCGCCAGAATCTGATGGACAAACAGATGGATGGCAGATGGACAAATGGACAAATCAGTCAGTATTACTGGATGGTCATAATGTGCCGCTCAGGTCAGGGGGAGCTAAATTTTTTTAGTGTGAATTCAGTACTCTTACTGAGAAAAAAACAAAACACAGCTATCTCTGTCGTCTTTTACTGAGGGCACAGCCGAGGGAAGGAGGTCATCGCTTGGTGGTTGTGGCCAGGCCGCTACCAAACAGGACCACAGCGGCTCTGCAAGGCGCAAACACAACGGACTATTTGGCATGGCATGGCCAAAGCAGATTGACCTGGGCTCTTAGAAAAAAACTTTGAATTGTTTTTTAGAAAAAGAGCCTTAGCTAATACCTAAAATATCATATCATCCCTGTGGTCACTCGGACTTGATGATAACAGTTGTTGAAAGAGCAGGTAATCTACAAGATCTACGGTTTCTTAGCCACAAGGCTTCAGTCTTACCTGCTTGAATCTTAAACATTTTGGATATCTTAAATTCAGCTCAGCAGCCCTTAGATCACACTCGATGTAGAGTCACTTTCTTAGGTGAGAGTTGGATACGTTCTAATTTCCCTCTAACACACATCTTGTGTTCTCTTTTCCTCCTTCTTTCTCTTCCCCTTTCTTTTCTTCTCTCCTCTCACTTCCCTCCTGCAACCAGATAAGAGCTCATTAAATCACTCTACCTCCCAAGAACCTTTGTCTCCAGCCTGAGGCTGTCAGATCATGACTAAAATAATGATCTGTTTGTTTTTTTTCTTCTTGATATTGAGATAGTGATGCGAGCACTTAGTCTGCATTCATTTCACTCGGTGATTTGATGAGCTCGTTTTGGTCTGTCCTCTTAACATCTTCACTATTACCGACAGCATTTGCAAATTAAGGGAAATGTGTCAGTGCTGCTTTAAGAAACTCCTGCAGCCCTTTAGTCTCCCCTTTTGAACCCTCTGTTTTATGCTCTTTCTCCCCCCTCTCTGCTGATTCCCTGTCTTCTCCCATAATTCCCTCACCAGACTGCTTCTTATTTCTCTGATCGTTCCCACAGGGCAGAGGACACACTGAACCACAACACTAGAACTTTTCCCAAGACCACTTTCGTATAGATTTTGTCTCATAAGGCTTCCCCTTAAGATGAGGGTCTATAAAACTGCACATGAATTCCTGAATCACCTTGTAATAAGTTAAGACAGTAAGTGTTGATGTTGTGAAAAAATTAAATCACGAACATTAACAAGTAATCAGAGTTAAAAAGGGAACGCCACCTATTTTACACATCAAAGTCTGTTTTCAGGTCTTTAGGAGTACTGCTGTGTATGAGGAAAATGTTGTATAAAGCCTTTTTTGTCTCCAGAGAGAGTTTTTATAAATTTAAGTGATGACACTTGAGTCCATGCCTGTTGGAGCTGAAGACAACAATTTTGAAAATGGGAAATAATCTGGTGGCGTAGAGTCATAAAGGAGGAGGTTACCGGTCCTCATATTAACTTGAGGATAGCAGCTGGAGGCTACATTACTCCACTAGCATAACCTCTGACTGAGTTGTCAGCAGTCAAATTGCATTGTGGGTAATGTAGGCACGAGTTCTGATAAGGCTGAAGAATGAATGAATGAATGAAATAAGACATGTTATCCCAGTTTCTTTTAACCATCCTGAGTGCAGTGCTAACTCGGCACAGTATGCTTAATGGTCAATAAATATTAGTATTGGCCCATATTATATAGATATTACATATTCTAACACTGAGACCAAGTTTGAGTTGTGGGATAGGTTAAGTATATTCTCATTTTGGAAGTGTCTAAAATCCTTGTGAGTTTTAAAAAGACAGATACTGAAGCCTCTCGATTTTGACTTTTCCTTAAGCTGTGTTTGGCTTTGTCCCAGTATCCTTTGCAAGTATCAGTGCATCCACCCTCATGACCCCTAAGATCTCCTCAGCTCTAACTCTCCCCCACCCTTTCCTCCTGTCAGTACGGATGGGAGATTTCAAAAGAAAATGGTACACTCATGGATTATTACCTTTTTTTTTAAAAGCCTTTCCCTTGCTGGCACAGTACAGCATGTTCTTTAACTTCGGTATTGTTAGAGTGCTGGCAGGGTACCCAGTCTTATTTGGTACTGGTCCATTGTCATTTTGAGGGAGTGTACCTGCGTTATACAAAAAGGACCTCACCTGTGTGGTGAGTCAGCCTGAAGCACAAGAACCACACTGTGCTGGTGCCAAACGTGGAGTTCCGGCACTCCTGTTTATATCTCACAGAGGTGCTAAAACACATTTGTACTGTGTTTACGTTCTACTACAGTCTTATATTGGAAAGAGACTGGAGTTCTGTTGGTAGAAAAAGGCTTTGCAGACAGCTTTAAAGTCAATTAAACTCAATGCTGTGCAGAATGTGTGCCCTTCCAAAGTGAAATTGTAGGGTTGGGGAAAAGTACAGGCTTGATTCACAGTGAAGAAACCAAAGGCGCATTGTGTTTGCTCTGCACTTTGAAACCTTAAAAGCTCTGGTTAGGGCAAGGCAAAGCAAATGTATTTGTATAGCACCTTTTTTAAAAACAATGCAATTCATAGTGTTGAAGACATAAAGGAATTAAAACAAGATATAAAAGAAATACAAGTAAATTTAGAAAGATATACATACATACATGTGATTTTAATTGAATAATACAAAGTAAAATAGAACATAAATGAACAAAAATGGAACAATGCAGATTAAACAGGAGAATAAAACAATTCCAGTGCAGTGCAAGATATGGTCCTAAATTTAATCCAGTACAATTCAATGACAAAGAGAAAAGCCTCAAATTAGAAGAACTGAGAGCTAGACCAGATCTTGCCTTTTCTGAGACTTTGTTCCACATATGTGGTGCATAAAAACTGAATGCTGCTTCCCCATGTTAAGTCTGGACTCTGGGGACAGTAAGCAGAACTGTCCAGACCATCTGAGAGGTCTGGACAGTCCATAACAGAGCACCACATCAGAAATGTATTTGACCCTAAACTGTCCATTGCTTTATAAACCAAAAGTAGAATTAGTTAGTTAAAATTAAGTTCTAACACCATGACGCCTCTGGCTTGGTTTGTGCTGTTTAAATTTTTGCAACTGAAGCTAAGAACTGACTTTTAATTGTTCTTTTTTAGCTCCAAAGACAAATATTTAAATTTTATCTTTAACTGGAACAAATGTTGGTACATGCAGTCATTGATTTGTCCAATGCACTTACTCAGTGCTTGTATGGACCAAATGTCATCTGGTGATATCCTTGTATAAATTGTGTGTCGTACCAATAAATACCACAATTATGGTATTATATTAGTGTGTTGTTCCATAATCCTGAGCTAGCTGGGAGATGTAGAACAGAACAGGCCTCAGAATGGAGCCTTGGGGAACTCCGAACGTCATTTTTGTACACAAATATGTAATCGATGGACACAAAATAGTCGCTGACTTTCAAATAGGATTTAGACCAGTGAAGCACTGTGCCACAAAGTCCACCCAGTGGAAATTTAGGCAAATTGGATAACATTTCTTTCTTTTTGAGAGAAACACCAGTCAGTGTCTGATTCACTGCTGTTTTTCAGTGATATACCATTTTCTAATTAACTGTGATTAAACATTTGTGGGCGCAGATAGTTTGCGTCATCTTACACAAAACACACAGGAGTAAAACCGCAACATCGCTCACCATAACCGCATGTGGGCCACTTATTGTGTGGGGGCTCACATGCTGAGTCAGTCAATAGTTTTCTTCCACTGGGAAAAAAAAATATTAAGCAATATGGCAACTCCACCTTCTTTTTATGCAATCTAACTTTGCTCATAAAGCTAAAGTTGTCTCAAGGGGAACTACTGCACTGTTGTCTTGGTCTAACTTTCTTTCTGAAAAACATAAATCTGGTGGCAGTGACCTGACGGGTGATTTTAATGCCATTGCTTCCATTTTCAGTGAATCCCAAAAGGGGTGAGGCAGTGGAGACGGCCGAGTGGCTGGAGGAGGAATTAGGAGACTGATCCATGAGCTGGTTGTCAGCACGCTGACATTGAGGCTATGGTGTTTTGTCTTAGTGGGGGTGAGGCTGCTGTGTGTCAGGGTGCATCATCTTGACTGACTGAACCAGACAGGTCCACCAGTACTTTAACTCCAGATTTGCTTGGATGGCAGCCATCTGCCCTGAATATATGCCTGGATCACTACATCAGATTGAAGTTATCAATGTAGTTGATCCCTTTCAATCCGCAGGTTCTGCCAAGCCGTGAGTCTGCTGAACCCGTTGATCACTCTGTCTCATGGAGATTTATTAATGGTCCGAACCGGTGTATCAGTTGTAATGTCAGGGGTGACTGTGGTCTGTTTATGCCCACCTTTGGCTGTCTGCCAGATGTCTGAAGTTGATGTTGAATCCATACATTTTGCTCTCTGTGGGAGTAGCACAGTCTTGAGTTCTCTCATTAGGTAGAAATCCCATTCATAGCACATGACTTCACTGGTTTCAGTGATAAGTAAAGTACAGTCTTGGGAAAGTTATGGCGTCATTTAAAAATAGTTGTCCTTTTAAATACTGTCACGTTGAAGTGTGATGAGCTAACGTACTGACAGCAGACATTGGCAAAGCGCTGTGGAGTTCAGAAGATGTCTCCAAGAATATCCTTGTCTTGAGTACGGCAATCAAGTTACTGTTTGGGTCACATTGTGGGCAACAGAAGGCAGTTCAAAGTAGTAAAAAATGGCGGCTACATGTAAGTGGAGCGCGAGAAGAGCGTCTGCATTTCCGCTTCTTTTTTTTCTTTCTTTTCTTTTGGATAAAAGGAGCCCGTGACAATTATGTTTGTGTGTCACACTGACAATACCGTTGGCCATGTGTGCGTTTCTTTTTTAGCGGCGTCATACACGGACAGCTCTGACGATGAGACGTCTCCTCGGGACAAACAGCAGAAGAACTCCAAGGGCAACGGAGACTTCTGCATCAAAAACATCAAACACTTTGGACGCAGGAGAAGATCGAGATTGCCGAGAGAAAACCCAAGCGATCACTGCTGGCGGGGGGGGTGGATGAAAAGTCATAGCAAAGGCTCTTCATAGCGAAATACATGTGTGCAAATTTTAAAAGTATAAAAAAGAAAAAATCCAGATTCTGGAACTTTGCGCTATTAGACTCAGGCCTTGCTTTATCAGATACAGGTAGTACAAAAAGGAGGGCATCTACAGTACGAATGTGTTGTTTGTTTTCGTTTTTTGTGTGTGTGTGTGTGTGGTGTGTGTGTGTGTGCGTGATACGGGGTGTGTTGAGCTCCTGGCAGGCCATATGTCGCCCGCACTGTAGCTTTTAGACAGAACCATTTAAGGGAACCGCAACACATGTAACACACATTTTTTCCAGTCATTCCTTAACGTTCCTTCCTTCATAGCAATACAGAGAGCCTCAGCGGCAACCCTGCAGGCTGCATTCTCCAGGACACACACACACACCAACACACACACGACACACCACACAGCACACACACACACACCATCACACAGCACACACAGCTACACACAGCGTCAGTTGTCTCCTTCAGGCTGGATGTGATGGATTAGCTGATGAAGTATAAGAAAGGTTTAAATGATTGGGAATTCCTTAACATCCAGGCTGATTCCTCTATCCACTGATGTGTCTGTTGGTGTGTTTCCTCCTCTTTTCAGAGATGCCAGCCTGCATGGTCTGAAGGAGCGAGCCGGGGGAGAAACCCCTCGCCCGGCCTGGCCAAAGTGGTGGCTGCACCCGACATGTACTGCAAAGACTGCTGTGGTAAGAAACACAGGGGCTCACGCACTCGCAGCCAAACATTATACACTTATTACTCCAGCAGCTGTAACAAAAAGTCACATGACCTTCTTTTTTCTCTCCTCAGGTTCTTGATGGAGACTCTGTCAGCTTTTAGGGGCCTCAAGTGCAGATGGGCAGTCTGCAACATCTTACTATCTACTCCACTCAGAATGAAGTGGCAGCTGCCCTGGCGGAGGGAGGTGAGACTGTGTGTTTCCTGGGGGTTTCCTGTGTGTGAGACACCTGCCCTTTTCTTCTCTCTTTTGTCTTAGAATATTCAGATGCTTTCTCTTTCTCTTCATCCTGCAGATTCATTATTTTTTTTCCATTTCAAACTTTCCGTCTGCTGTGCATTAAATGCTTCCTGTCTCATTCTAGGTTTCAGTGTATTTGCATGGAAGGGTGAGTCAGAGGACGACTTCTGGTGGTGCATCGATCGCTGTGTCAACGTGGAAGGCTGGCAACCCAACATGGTAGCACACCTACATTCTAAATAAAGCCCATTAAATGCATTTCTTTTTTAATCCTGCAGTACCTGTTGGTGGTACATGCTGCTATTTTCAGCAGACAACTACATCTTTTAAACACATTTATTTTTACACTGTGGGTAGAGGTACAGGCAGGATGATGTGTAACAGCATTTTGAAATAGATTTATAGAAATGGTGCAAAAGGTAAAGTGTAACATTTCATAGACATTCAGGACTGAATCTTAGCAACAGTTAATCAAATCTTTTCAAGGAATTATTCTAAAAATATATTTGTGGGTAAACAGATTTGCTTCCTTTTGAACATTTAAGAAAAAATGGTTGACTTTTGCTGTATTTTTCACCCTTTATTAAAATGTTCCTCTCTTTCTCTCTCTCTAACACTATGCTCATCTTCGTCTCCAATTGTTTGTCAGATCTTGGACGACGGTGGAGACTTGACTCATTGGATCTACAAAAAATACCCCAACATGTTCAAGAAGATCAAGGGCATTGTAGAGGAGAGTGTTACCGGCGTGCACAGGTAGGACTCACAACATGCAGTTACTCAGAAAGGTTGAAAAACATCACTTCAGATAAAATCAGGTCTCTCTTTAAATGAGAGGATGTACACGTCAGTGTTTACACACACACACAGTTTCTGGTGTGGTAACATCGCCATCTAGTGGTGAAAATGTGTTAAGTGTACTGTGATTATACCATTGCAGCATTGCTGTGTATATAAGAGTAGAATAGAATTAATACAGGAGCATAGCTTACTTTTTTAAAAATATATGTATTGTGTGTTTAGGTTGTATCAGCTGTCCAAGGCAGGAAAGCTTTGTGTTCCCGCCATGAACGTCAACGACTCAGTGACCAAGCAGAAGTTCGACAACCTCTACTGCTGCAGGGAGTCCATCTTAGACGGGTATGAAACACTCTCCTGTTTTAACCTCATTAAGGATTATTAAACCAAACATGTTTGTTTTTGGGAGCATTTTGTGTTGCAGGGCAATTACACCCACCTCCTCTCCGCTGCGAACAGTCAGAATAAATATGAGGCTGCCAGTGAAATTATTGTTTCTGTCCGTAGCCTGAAGAGGACCACTGATGTCATGTTTGGAGGCAAACAGGTGGTGGTGTGTGGGTACGGGGAGGTAAGACAGACATTTTTCTCATTCTCAAGCTCATGCACAGTGCATTACTGAGACCTAAATGTTAGGTCTTCCTTAGATCTTCTTTTTCCTTAATATACGTCAGTGAAATGACATTTAAAACTATAATAAGTCCACTTGTAAAAATGGAGAGATTTAGATGCGGGTTAGAAGACAAATTATATAATCATGTTTTTGAGGCATCAAAGCAAGTAGGAACAGGAATTTTACAAATGTCGTCACACATTTTAGTATTTAAAAGGTTGAATAATTGAAACAACTTTATTAGTATAGTAGTTGATATGTTATGGCCTAGTACTTATCAGGGAGCTTGTGGAGTAGTTCATCTAGAAATTATGATGTGGTTTTTGTGGTTAAAAGGAAGATCAAAACAAATGAGCAGTAAAATATCAACTACAATAAGCCAACTACACACTTCCCCACCAATTTGAGTCAGCTGTAACACCTGAACACCACCTGCTGCTGTGATTTCAGAGTGAGCTATAACAAGTTAGCAAGTGAGCAGAAGAGTCATAATAGCTAAAAATGATGGATCAGTGGTTAACACCTTCTGCCACTATAAGAGCTTTATTACAAATACAAACTTGACTAGAACTTTAAACATCAACAACATCATTTGCTATGCCTTTTATCACATCCACTTTTATAAAATGAATAGTGTAAAATAATAGCCTCTGTGTCCTCCTCAGGTGGGAAAAGGCTGCTGTGCTGCCCTCAAAGCAATGGGCTCCATCGTCTACGTCACAGAGATCGACCCGATCTGTGCCTTGCAGGCGTGGTAAGACAGCGCTTGTTCAGTTTCTCATGGCTCGCCGCTGCGGTTTCCATCCTGTTAGCCTCACGCTCTTTATTGTCTTCTCTCCCTATTGCAGCATGGACGGCTTCAGGCTGGTCAAACTGAATGAAGTCATCAGACAAGTGGACATCGTCATCACCTGCACAGGTCGGTCCAGCAGCCGTCTCGCTGTGCTTCTCTCTAATAATCACTGGATTGCTGACTAATGACCTCACAGCAGCTGTACAGGGATTTGTCCTGTTGGCAAAAAAAAAGTGGAAGACAAAAAATACACAGACTGTTCTGTCACTGTTGGTTCGGGATGACTGGACAGGTATTCACTCATTGTCATCAGTGTGTGACAGTTACTAATCAAGTTCTCAGCTCAGCAGCCAGGGGGTTGTCCTGAACACTTAATTGGAGCAGAGAATCAGTTGTTTCTGTTACTGCATCACCTAATGTTGCCAGCAGGCTGAAAGCAGAGGGCTCTCTTAAGGTTGACTGCAATTGAACAGAAAAGATAATAAGAGGATAATAAGGTAGAAGACACTTGGCATTTTACGTAGGATTTTCCTAATGAAGTTACAAAGTGCTGTTAAAAGAATAAAGCAGGACAAGCATCGTTCTAATAAGGTCATGCACCAGTCTCCATTAAGGTCGATTCATTAAAGCCCTGGCAGCAACATTCAGAAAGCTTGTTAGATTCCTAATGCCGCTGTCGAGAAACAAGGAAATCAGTCTTCCTCCCTGGTGAGGAATTGTGCATGAATCATACTTGTTTGGGTGTAAAAGTGTGACTTTACATATATATAAACAAAGCTGTTTTGTTATACAATTCCTCTAGTTTTGATCAAAATTTCAGGTGGATACCCTCACTCAAAGTCCACTTAGAGACAGAGTGCACATCAGTCCACATGCGCTACTCAGGCAGGTGGAACTCTCACACTAAATCACATTTTCAGACTTAATTAACTGCGCTACATGGTGAGATAGGAACTAATTAAACGTTGCACAGTAAAAACCTAGTTTCACAAAAATGGATACAGAATAAGTCCCCAGATTTCCTGCATTGAGTCTCTTTTCAACATAATTGTGATTTGATAAAACTTCAAGCACACTCTAGTCTCTTTCTTTGTCTGTCATTTTCTTTTCCCATTTTCGCTATCTAACTGCTCTTTGTGCGTTTGTTCTCATCGTTTCTTTCTCTTTCTCCCTCCATCAGGCAATAAGAATGTGGTGGTGAGAGAGTACCTCGACCGCATGAAGAATGGCTGCATTGTCTGCAACATGGGACACTCCAACACCGAGATCGATGTGGTCAGTTACCAACTCGCGCAAACTTGTGAAGTAACAGGAATAATGTGAAAATAACACAGGGTAGAGGCCAAACATGATTGACAAGAATAAAATAAAATGGAACAAACCAAGAGACAACTGAAGAGAAACGGCAGAGCGTAATCAAGGATCTGCGATACAGAAACAAAAGCATGGCAATTCTCAGTAACATGACAGCATGTTGAATCCTCCTGTCTGTCTGACCTTGGGCAGCCAATGTTCAAAGTCGTCATGGTAACTGATAGCTTAGCTTGAGTTAGTGGGTTTGCAGTGAAGACTAGTAGACTTTTACGAAGCCATCAAACCATAAGAATGAGTCTTGTTTTTTTATTACTTTACTTTCATGCTCTTTAAATAGAGGTTATGATCCCACTATATATGCTATATGTCATTGTTATAACAGCTTGGTTCTGAAGTAAACCAACATTTGAGACTTTTTCATGCAGAGTGTCTTACAAGGGAGTACAATATTAGAATAAAATGAAATCACAGAAGTGAATGCTAACCAAAGATAGCTGCCATGGTGCACTGATTGCATTCTGCTGACTATAAAACAGCAATACAGAGGTGCCAGGAATAGTTCAAATATGAGAAGAACTGAAGGAATTAAAAAAAAAAGAATCCGTGGTAGAGGAAGGAAGCAGTTCAGACACTAGAGGAAGTTGTGACTCACTTCTTAAAGTACTTCAGTCCTGGAAAAGACCAAACGTAATGAGTCAGTGATTCCCATGTTGATAAATGGACGACAGCTCAGCCAGACAGAAATAAGAAGTGGAAAAACTACAAAAAACAGAGAGGTTGCTGATGAGGTTGTGCTCATCTTGTAGGCAAGCCTGCGGACCCCTGAGCTGACCTGGGAGAGAGTGCGCTCGCAGGTGGACCACGTCATCTGGCCCGACGGCAAGAGGATAGTGCTGCTGGCTGAGGTACACACACTGGATCACACTCTTACGCACAGGGCTTTGAAAAAACATATCAGGAGAACCTTAAATTCCTCTTTGGATATTAGGACTGTTGTTGAACTGCACAGACATGACAAGACTTTAATAGTAATGTATTTGTGAAGCTTATTATTCAGCCATTACTGGTCAAATCATGCCATATCACATTTAATAAACATCGTCAACAAATAAAGTTCTGGAAAGACCAACCTTTTATATACACATTGCAGGTTAGGTGTGTGTGTGTGTCTGTGTGCGTGCAAGCTGTGACAGAATGAGAGCAGTCTGACAGGGCCAGACAGACAACCTGCCAGCCCGTTGCTGCCTCTGTCTGTGCTGCTGTTTGATCTTCAGCAGACTTCAACCACCATCCTCACCTCTCCCGCCTCCAGTATCACTCTGTGTTCCAACAGTTCTGATCCAAAATAGAGCTCTGTGCTCCAAAAATGGTATTTAAAGTAATAACATCAGCATTCAGTAGCTATGAAATAAAGAGATTTTAGATTTCGTTTTCTTTGAAAGTTTAAAAAAAAAGAGCTATATTTTTTCATTCCTCTTTGTTTTATATATAAAATGTAATTGTAAAACTATACACTCATGCATTTATGCATACATATCCATGTCCTGTACTTGGCTCCATTGCTAAACCAGAGACCGAGATGGGCCACAAAGACACGTTTTTGCAGACGAGAGGATCTGGGCTGTGGAGGCTCTTTGTGTACAGTACTGAGGGGTCAAAACAGCACAATAAACAATAAGGAAACCAAAGCTTCCTCCACAATTAAAACCACACATCATCTCAAAAGAGAATGGAGTGACGGGACTAATTGAAGGTTTGTGTTTCAGTGAGTCATGTGATTTGTAGCGTCCATTGGACAACCCCTATTAAGTTTTAATTCTGCTTTTTTTTTCTTCTTAAAACTACAATGCAACCTTTCTCTGTTCCCCACCACCTACTAGCCGCCGAGTGTTTCAGTTTTACATACTAACTACCTCATTTTCTGCAACACTTGGGATCTCCCAAATTCACTCACTGCAATGCAGCATCTCAGACAGCAGCAACAGTTTACTGTCACACTGAAACAAACAGGACACTGAGTTAGGTTATCTCTGAAACGGATGTCTCTGTACATCATCTCACCCAGACTGCACATCCTGACACTGTTCTCTCAACTGCAAAGTTAACGTGTGTGTGTGTGTG